CACACACTCTCCATCACCACCACACCCAGACCTGACATCACTTTATGAACAGAGCCAGGGAGAGAGAGTTGTAAAGGACTGGAGGTATGCCGCGGCCATTGTTCTTTGGCTTTTAAAGTCTCTATTGTCAGACAAAGAGCGGAACGGGAACGCGCACACACATACACACACACCAGCACACACACATACACACCAGTACACACACATACACACCAGCACACACACATACACACGCGCGCACTGTTAAATGGCCTGAGCAGCTGTGAGAGAGTCAAAATGAATGTAATCTGATACCAGCGGCTTACGGTGGGAAAGTATGTATTGGAATTAAGATAAAGTTAGAATAATATTGTTTTATTGAGCAAATGGGTTGTAAAACACTATGTTAGCTGCACGCTGATAAGTGAATTTAAAGAGAGATACATCTCTTTTTTTGTTTGATAAAAGATCCCAGTCAGTGACAAGTGACTATTTGGACTATTGAGAGATGATTGGACTCTTATTTTCATGTCTCTGTCTGTAAAAAGCTGATCTAAAGGTGTGAAACTGAACCAGACTGGTCTTAGACTGAAGAACTAGATTTTTTAAATAAAGTTCCATTGTTATTTGGTTTGAAAGTTAGGTACCCCAGCTTTAACAGTCTAGAAAAAAATTGCCAAATTGATGTCAATTGATGAATGAATAATATACTATATACTATATCTATAAGGTTGTACACAGACTGGCTGCACACTTACAAAGATCGACTTAAGAAAGCAAAGTTCCCAGGGCTTTTTCTCTAAGTGAAACAGAGGTAGCATGTGTTTTCAAAAGGAGGAAGTATGCATTTACATATTTGCAGTTATTTCCTCTCATAAATTCTTTCCTTCAATCCAAGGAGCCTCATGAATTTTGGCTATTGTGACCATCACTGCTCTTTCTTCTGGTCATAATACAACATATTTTCTACATGATGCAACCATAGACTGTAAACATGAACCAGTGCTGGTGAAGGTGCTTTTATATTAGCACATTACGCACATGACAATTTTCATGGTTGCAGTTAGCAAATTGCAAAGTCAAAACATAAAAAATGACTATAGATTTTTCTTGGTTGAAGTAAGTTTTTAAGATTAATCAATGGGACAAGCAAGGGTTTCTCATTCCTAAGAAGGCATCTCATCTGTATCATAATTTATAAGGACAAAACTCTCAAAATGTGCACAACTCAGGTCTGACTATATCAAAGTTGTGAGAAAAAATAACAAAACGTAATTCAATCTTTTTTTTTTTTTAAATCTTTTTTTGCAGTGCACATGTTATTTCTATAAATGGTCACACTATACGTCAGAACTCTCAAACCTTTTTCTGACGTTTTAGGGGATTGTGCATGAGGCAATATACTAACTTTCTTTTTAATTTTTGTTTCCTTTTTTCCTAATGTATGAAATAATTCGAGCATAACATACATGTATAAAAGTAATTAAAACATTATCACCAAGTGTCATTAAGATATACAGTACTGACAAATATATTTACAACTTGTTTTAATGTAACTCTTGAAGTTTACTCTGGACAAATTTAGGGTTTTTAAACATGCATTGAAAATTATTATGCTGGCCAGATATATCACACTACCTATATTTTTCCTAAATTGTCCAGCTCTAAAAATGTACACAATATTATGCTGTCCACAATCAGACCAGATTTGAGAACTTCCCACTATAAAGAATGTAATAATAGTGTATTTCACTGTTTATTGTTCAGCACCTCTCAAACTGCTCTACTGCTTACATAATCATTACTGCGAGGCCTCTTGTCAGAACAAACTTCTTCTTGTATTTTACTGTAAAAACATTACCTCATTCTTCTGGCACATGCACACGCTTTACTCGCACATGATTGGTCCAGTGTTATGGTGGGGCCGTGCAATTTTTTTTCAAAGACGGTGTGAGTGTAAAATGTAACTTTTATAGCCACGTGTAAACACCAAAACCTGTCGGAGGAATCTTGCTGTGGTGTGCAGACTGGCTAATGCCGGCTGGTGGGGCGTGGTGGTCTCAGAGGCCTTTCCTGTCCTGCTGGGAGTGGGACAAAAATCTGTTTCCTCTGCCTAAGCCCTCCACATTGTCTGGGTTTGTCTGTGTTCTTTTATGGGGCAATACATGCAAATGAATAGGTGCTCATGCAACTGCAGAGAGGAATATGGAGATCACAACAAAGCAAAACGAGTCATTTTAAACAAGGAAGGAACATTCAAATCTCGAACTACAAATCAACTAAAACTGTGTGGACATTATTTTAACAGGACGCCCCAGTTAATATAGAGGGCTCAATATACCAGTCAGAGTGCCTCAGGTCTACTTGACTACCAGTACTCTGTATTTTGCAAATCTGTCCTAAGCACCTGTACTGAGAATAATTCTACTTTTTAATAAGACCCAGAGTCTCATTCACTCTCAGATGTGAATGAGATCTCTGACTTGGTCCATCACTCATAAAAAAACAGTAACAATACAATATGATTTATTCAAAAATTCAATAGGAATGAAGGTAATATGATTATAATTAATATAAATTTACAAAGACAACCTTTTCACCAGAATTTAACCTGCCATTAAGAAGTTTAGCTCCTAAGCACTGATTTCTGATAAAATCCACTAGCTGGAGTTTAGGAACAGTATAACCTCTGTGGGCTACGTATGACTACTTGTTGTTGTACCTGGTTTAGTTTAAACAAATGTGCCTGTTTGTGCAGGTTGTTCTGTATAAAAACAGATAGAACCAAGACCGGTTATATAGATTGACTATTGACTAATTTAATTATCATCATTCATAAACAATAACTCCACTTTAAACTGTTGTTCAGAAAAGTCAGATATGATTTGTACATGTTGACCTGTTATCTGGGGACACATATAAAAGAGGCAGACGTAATTTAAAATTAAAATATTCTATAGTGTCCCTTTAAAAAGTAGAAGTAAACAATTCAGAGCACCAATGTTTTTAGTAATGTGCCTTTAGTGTTGAAACCTTCCTTTGCTTTAGGGTCAATAGTGATTGGTTGTAATAGTTCTATGAATGCACGGGTACTTAGATGCCTTTTTATTTGTGAACCCCTGGATCCAAATCAAAAATTCAGTTCAAATCACATCCAAACCCAGCACATTATTACTGTACGCAGATAATGAACGAATGCCCCTCTCTAATTGGTACATTTTAGCACATCTTCAAAAAGTTATCAAATAAAACAATACTGTAACCCATGACCTCTCAATATTAAACCAGTTCTTTTACACGTCTGCTTCAATGTCACACACTCACACGGGTCACACTCCCTTTTGATCTTATCTGTGCCCTGCTCTGTTGTCCCGCACTGAAATAGCCTTGATATCACCAACACGTTTGCAAACAAAAGGCCTGATCCTCCAGAGTACACGTGAGCTTGTGCTTGCTACACTGTGGGGACTTGAAATGTGTGTGTGTTGCATTGGCGGTTTGAACAGAAGATTTGCTTACACATAAAAAAATGCTGGTCTATTTTAATCAATTTTGATCAACTCAATTGCTGGATTAGGCGTGATTAGGTTATAAAATCCAAACTTAAAATCAGTATCGCAACCGGCTGGGTTATGGAGAGACGGACGAACTGACGCTGCTTTCCTCGAGTGTGAGCTGACTGCCAGAGGACTCATCACTGCAGGTGAACAGGTGAGACTGTTGGGTTAAAATATTTAAACCAACTGTTGTCATTTGTAACCCAACTGTTGGGTCGTTTATAACCCAACGTGGGGTTCAATGGGCACCCCAACTGCTTGGTTAAAATGTTTAACCCAATCACAATTCATAAAATAACCCAATGTTGGCTCGTTCCATTGGGTTAAAAGTTGGGTTACTTTTAACCCAGCATTATTTTGTGTATATGCAATATATGGATAATACTTTGTTGGTTGCTGTAGGACAATTACAATAGTTAGCCCACATCACAGTAATACTCTGGTCAAAGACGTGTGTGTGTGTGCAGGTGTGTGCATGTGTGTGTATGTGTGTGTATGTGTGTGTGCGTAGGAGCTGCCTTATCCTGTGTGTCCTGGACGTGGCGTGACAGCAGCAGTGGGAGGACTGGGGCTCTCAGGTCTATGTGGGATTGTAACACTTGGAGCCATCCAGTGTCAGTGCTTTTGGTGCAGGCTGAGGAGGAGGATTCCAACCACAAAGCTGGGTCAAATGTCAATGGATTCTTTCTGTCAGCATGTACTCTGGATACATACCTGCATCATAATTGGTGTTCCATGTAAAGCTGCAGGCATTTTGGGATGGTTTGAGCAATTAGTGAAACGTACAAACGCGTTGGCCTGTCATCATAAATGAATGACTATGCTGATTCATCCTTCAATGACTTAAAACAGTCCTGATTATATTTGCTATAGTTTATAGGTATTAGTCATTCTCCTGCAACAGAATTTCAGCTGAACGGGATTGAAAATGTCATGTTTAATCGCCTGATTGCTGTTTATTAGTTTTGCGACTGATTTCACTGGCTTTAACTTCAACATCAATAATTAGCACAAATGTTCTGAAGCGACATATCGTCAACCAGCTGAAAATATTTTCATTGGATTTAGATAAACATTACCCACATTTAACACTATCAACAATAGACATATTTGCCCTTATTATGACATTGCAAATAATCTGATTCTTGTAAATGACACAAATTGTAAAAGTGATTAGATACATAGATGATCCAAATATTTCCTCTAAATCCTAGCTATCATGAACCTCTGGAACAGGATTGAAGTATGCATGAAACATGTTTAGTATGGATTATTTACTGGTAAGTAGCACTGTTTCTAGTAAAAACCTGAACAGAAGGTCATCCGTTTACACCTCAATCAATACAGATCAATACACTGAGATCCTCCCTGTATGTCGGGAGCTCAGAGATTCTTTCTCTCACGTGCAGCAGTGAAAGCAATGTGTTCCTCATGTTTTATGTCCAAGCGTATTCCTGCAGTTACCTTGAGATGTTGCAGTTGCCGCCGGTCATCGTCGAGCTGCCTCCTCTTGTTTTCAATCTCTGTCTGTCTCTTCCGTTTCTCCTGTTACAGCACACGCAATGGGAGTCATTAGACCACTACCAAATATAAATAATTATTTTAAGAACAAGAAACAGCACTGGAAGTAATTGATGACACAGGAAATTAAGAAAGACCTCCATCCCTTGTTGGGATTTTGGTCTTGGTGTTTTACAATGGAGTGGTATGCAAGAGGTAAGTTATAGGAAGCATTTAGAGGTTGTTATTTTTGCACATTATGTACGAAATACTTATTGTGTGGTACCTACATTTATGCACATGCCTAATCTGGTTTAAATAATTCTTTAAACTAGTTTATCTCCTATATGATACATTTAACTACATTTTATTTTCCGCACAACACAGGATTTTTATAAAGGAAAATCATGAACATTGAATTACCCAAACATTTGTCAGTATAGTAAAAATATACAGTGGTATGCAAACATATAAAGATAACTAAAATGTATTCCAATTCACTAGTTACATGATTTTTGACATTTTTTTCTCCAATATTTTACAAGAGTGGGGTTTGCAGCCTGTATTAAGTAAACAATATAAATGTAAAAAACCAACATGGACATTGTTGCAGTCACAACTAGACCTGTATTCCTTCCTGCATATGGACATGGGGCGATATTTTGATTGAGTGTGATGGAGGCACCTCTAGTGACTTTTCTGATGATCCTTGATGCGAGGACACGGCGCTCTGATGAATATCACTCCGGAAAGAACTTCACAACAACATTCATTTGGATACGCAACTTTATCACTGTATAAAACGCAGATGATGTAGGTTGAGTCACCGCAGACCGGCGTAGGTGAAGTGGTGTTCCAACAGAAAAGTAGTTTTCTCACGGCCTTTTCAGCCTCTTACAAACACTATAGATTATCGTGTTTGTTTGAAAAAGGTATAAATCATCCATCATTGAACACTATCAAAGGTATTAATATTGGCCAGGCCTATATTTTGATTGATGTCGTTGACTCAGTTTCAAGCCGTGATAACTAGATTTGCAGTTCTCGTCAGCGCTGTGAACAAAAACAGCACCCTTCTGAGTCCAGCAGGTCCCTCTCTCTGGGTGCTCTCAGATTGTCAAACGAGGCCAGGTGCCTTTCGTTATATTCTATAATTTTGCTCACTAAGAAGGCGGCTGGCTCTGATTCAAGCTAAAGCCTTGCCCGATTTCAGTCCTTTTCAGGCCTGGTTCAGACTTGGTTGAGTCCAGTTTCAGGCCTGGTTCAGACTTGGTTTTGTCCAGTTTCAGGCCTGGTTCAGACTTGGTTGAGTCCAGTTTCAGGCCTGGTTCAGATTTAATTTAGTCCAATTTCAAGCTTGGTTCAGACTTGGTTTAGTCCTGTTTCAGGCCTGGTTCGGATGTATTTTTGTCCGGTTTCAGGCCTGGTTCAGTTATCTATAAACATATGAGGGAGTTTTAGTTGTTTCCACAGTAGATATGAGGCGTGTTTAAAAACTCATAATCCACCTGAAATTGTATTCAAAATGTGAAAGTCGCAAATCCAAATGAATGGTGTTTTCCTACTGAAAAGTCCAGCTCAGGACCAATCAGATCACTGCATCACAAGGACAATCTGAATACACTTTAAGTTGCCGTCCCAACACACTCCATTCAAACCATAGAGGTACGGGAGTCGAGTTTGTAGTTGTTCAGGCTGGATTTACTGATTATTTATCTTGAGAATAAAATAGATCAAGAGTGTTTGTTAAAAAAATTTAAATCTGCATTTCTCATCTGTCTGCATTACTTGATTTGAACACATTTACTCATCTCTAACTCAGTATTCAGGCAGATCATGTTTAAGAACTCAATCCTTTTACATACCCCACCTTTCAGCAGTCATATTTGAATGATTGGATATTTGTAATCGCATCAAAACTAGATCAAAAGCCTGCTGAGTTCTTTGTAATTCAGAAGATATGGAGAGATAGTTGTTCAGATGCAGACGGAGGATAGAGACAGAGAGCAGCACCGAGCCCGCCTGAGTGATGCGCTAATGGGCCAGCGGAGATGGATCTAAAAGGGCGAGTCGTTAAGATCAGCCAGTCGCATCCTGACAGGGCCTGAAATCATTTGTGCTTTCCCCCGAGATGCCCTCACATGACAGAGAGACAGAATGAAGAGGACTTACAGCGATGGCCTGGAGTCGCTCCTCTTGGGACACCTCAGCCATCCTGAGGACAGAGAACGCAGATTACAGCCATTAGATTCATCGCTAAGACAATTCAAAAACTTCACATGTGGTAAATTTTTTACAGAGTGAGAATTTGTTGTTCGTCCCACAGTGGGGAAATTTCAGTGTTGCATCACCAGTTACAGAACAGTAGGAATAAGGAGCACACAGCACAAAGTAAATGAACACAGCTCTACACTAAACTCTATATGAAATAACTCTCTACTAAATAGAAAAACAAAGCATAAAATCTCTAGCTTTAGTATTATATGGAAGCAGTCTATAATCTGTAATAAGAAACAAAAAAAAGAGTACAAAATCTTGGACTTTAGCATAATAAAGAAACAAATATAAATGACTGTATATTCTAGTGCATAAATATATAGTTGTATGTGTACATCTGCACATGTTAGCAGCTCGAGGGTCTGGGACACAGTGACAGTGGACACATGCGGTTTCATTTTGCATATTCTGACATTATTAAAGTTATTATTGCACAGATGAGTGTCTCTGTGATGGGGAGAAGTGTGGACTCTGTGGGAGCTGTGCTGGAGAGAAGGATGAGGGCTCTAATGCAGGGCATCCTGGGTAACTCCAGACACCCTCTGCATGACACTATGGCCGCTCAGAGGAGTAATCGAAGCAACACGCTCCTATCACTACGCTGCCGAACGGAACGTTTCAAGAGATCCTTTGTTCGTTCGGCTTTCAGACTGTATAACAAACCTGACTGACTGTACAACAACAAAAAAGAGTCTTCTGCTGCTTGACACCTAAATTTCTCCTATGGGGTATCAATAAAGTATCTATCTATCTATGAGTAAACTAAAGTGTAAATGGACACATGTGGTTTCAGCACATTCTGACATTGGTTTTAAGACATGTGAGGTCTGCAGTGTTCGTTAGTCCTCATTGTTTGTTGTTCAGTCTGGCAGCAGCAAGAAAAGACCTGCGGAACCTCTCCTTCAAACAGCGAGGATGAAGGAGCCTCTCAAGTCAACCAACGTTGCAATTTTGTGGTTGCAAATTGTTAACATTTTTTTGCTAACAAAAAAGGGGCTAAACATTATCACTAGATTTTAAATAATTGCCAATAGGAACAAGACTTTCATATTTTGGGAAGAAGCTATTCATTTCTCATTTATAACGAGACATCTCATAATTTTCATGAGTAAGTTTAGAAACCAAAATATACAAAACATGCTCACCTCTGGTCTGACTAGAAGAATGTTTTGGGAACAGATAACTTCTTCATTTGAGCGTTAATGTATATTTAATATTTTTGCAGTAGAAAAAATGTAATATGATCAGAACAACTTTTCTAAAATGGGCGGGCATTGTGTATCGCTTCATATGCTTGTTCAATTATGACTCTCTTGAAGTTATTATTTACAATTGCTATAATTGGAGAAGTTCTAGTCAATATTGAATGCATTCCAACTTCAAAGAACAAACAAAAGACCACTTAATCTAAAGCTGGTAAGTGAGTAAGTAAGTAAGTAATGTTTATTTATATAGCACATTTTAACGGCCAAAGTCACCCAAAGCGCTTTACAATTGTTCAGAGTTCAGATTTGTTCCAATTATTCCACACACGGTGATGAACTGGTGTACCTAAGTTTCGAACTACACCATGTATTAATCCTTGTTACTAATTTCTGACTCTAAAATGCAGTTTGTGCGGATTTAGAGTTCAATGTTCTTGCCATGGCTTATTTGGGTTCTAATTGATTAGTTGCAGCCTAAGCTTGCGTTAGTTCAAAATAAGAATTATGGCATGGTATGACAAATGGCTTTTCTCGTAACACTAGTTACAGCTTCCTCGAGACTGAAGTGAAACATGTGTCTGTTAGAAGTAAATCTCTGTCTCTTTTCCTGTCAGAGGGAGTAAGCGCAGGCATCCTTATGGGGAGGCATGGGCGCTGCTGGAGATTCCTGTTCTAATGGTTTCCAGACCAAGGCTCCAGTTTGGACGGTCAAGAGGAAGCAGCACTCAGAGCCGCAGGGGCATGAGCTGTGTCTGTCAGAGATGGGCACTGTCACTCAGTCGGGATAAGACCAGTAAGATAGTGTTTCCTAGCAACACATGTGGTAATCAAGGGCAGCATCAGATGGCAATGTTATACTGTAGAGACAAGAAACAGTACAAAAATACATATTATAACTGCCAAAGAGAAAATATGATCAAAATAATGATATATTGCCTTCAAGAACAATCCAAAGAAAACACATCCTTCAACTAAGGCTTAGAAAGGTTCTTTTAATAAGACAAAAAAAGTCTTCGTCCTTCAACTTTATAACAAGACAGCACACACCATTATAGAGGCATTCCGCTTTGGAAAGTAATTTTCTTCTTTCTTCTGCCATATCTAAAATACAGATTTAGATTACATTCTTTAAAGACACAGATAAGGAAAACACAAGCCCCTTTTCAATACCGAGGGTTAGGGTTTGTCAATTATCTATTTCCCACTCCATTCACAATCAGCACTAGTACTATTGAGTACAAAAGAGAATTGAAACTACACAAGTTTGAACAACATGAGAAAAAACAGAAAAAAAACAAAAAAAACACGCATATATTGTGTGCATTTCTTGATTTAAAACTATATCTTAATAATTGAAACACATACGGCCCCCATATAAAACATATCATAATCTCAAATTAAACTATTTATACAAAAAAGAGCATTTATGAGTGATTTCCGTGATATAAAAATTAGGACAAAATTGTTTTGAAATTTAGTAACAGCGACCACATTAATGTACAGTAAATTGTCTAGAAAAAAAACAGGATTGGTTTATGTGTGGTTCTCTGTTACTACAACAGAACCATGTTTATCAAATAACTAAATTAATTGTTTAAATGTTGTATACATCATAAGTTGGAAGAAGTTATTTTAAGTTCATCTCATAACATTCAGTGCTCTATAGGGGTACAGTAAGTAATCTTTATTTATATACCACCTTTCACAGACCAGAGTCACAAAGCGGTTTATAATTGTGGGCATTTGTCTCTCACTCCTCAGAGATGGGAGCGGGGTTGCCAGTACAGGAGGCACATGCCAGAGTACCCGGAGGAAACCTATGCAGACACGGGGAGAACATGCAAACTCCAGCCCCAGGGAAATGTGGCACTCTGACATTTCTTTCTTTCCCCTGAGGCGTGATGGATAATTGAGCTCCAGTAAAATGAGACAAGGTTAAGACACTATATCAAACACAACATTATAATTGATAGAGTGGATGAAGGTATGTCACGATGCTTTGACCAAATGATCACACGTATTATTGTGTACATAAAGTCAGGTGGCGTTCAGACAATACTACCTTTCACTGAAAATAATGCGCCACAGATTGTCTTTCACACTTCTTTCATAACCTCCTAATCCCTGAAGGAGTTACTGAGATAGCTCAAGGCTACAGTCTACAGTCTAAATCATGCTTTTCTCAGTAAATCTATACAGTCTGATATCTCATCCCTCTGCGCTCACCCACGCCCTCAGCGTCACATGGGGATCCTGCGGAGAGCGAGTCGTCCAGAGCCTCAATCATCTGATCAAACCACAAGGACATAAACAGTTTTTGTGCTAAAGTTCAACCATGCACGAAGCCTGGTACATTCACACGGAAACTTACAATGTGTAAAAATGACTTTATTATTTATTTTATTTATTTAATCTTTAATTCTGACACATAAAGAGTCTATATACCACAAAAATCAGACAACAAAAATACAGACAATAAATATACAATATAATTAAATAATAATAACAATACTAATACAAACCATATACTAAATATATGCTTTCTAAAACAGCAAAACCTGGGATATTTCTCTCAACACGAGCGCACTTGTCTGTGTAGGGGGAAGGGGGGTTCCTGTCCCGACTGAGAGGGGTCACAGACACTGAAACTATGTGGACAATGGACAATCAGCCACCACGACCAAGGAGAAGAGATAATCTTATTTATTGTTATTTTCACAGATAATTGTGGAATTTCAATTGTCCGTGTCTAACTATAGCAACTATTGTTACATCATGTTTGTTTATACACACATATAATAATGATATAAAATAATGTGTTCAAATACGTAATCTTGTTATTTCTATATTTTGGATGCACATTAGTCACAACAACGACTATTCTTCCTGTGTGTTCTTAAAGGGGACATAACACACTTCTGTCTGCTACTGTATACATTGGCATTTTCTCATGGTTGTTTTTTGTTGAGCAGCGTGGCACAGTTTAGTCCAGTACGCACGAGCTGAATCCAAATCACATGAAGCTGCGTCTGCAGAGGTGTGGAGCCATTTGCAGGGAGCACTTTATTAACACTGGGACTCCCAGAACTATGAAACTACTAGCACTCTCAGAGCCGTCCTTTTGACTGCTCCCATTCAAACCAATGGAATTATGAGAAATTTCCCCAAAAAGTGACATTTTCCACCAGGTTTTTTTTCCATTTACCTTAGCTCAACCTGGTGTATATAACTTAAAATACAGCAATACAGCAAAAACAGGTTATTGAAAGAATACCAGATGCTAACTGCTGGCAGTGTGTTGCTAAGGTAACTATGGTAGCTCACATTTCAAAGATAAAAAAATGGCGTAGAAATAAACTACACATAGAATAGAAAAAGTCACAAGCCAAAGACCAAACATGTATACGCTGAGTAATTACACTTCCAAAAAGGAAAGTCGTCAAATTGACTGCTCTGGGAGTTCTAGTGTAAAATATTCCCTTCACGTCAAACTGAAAGTGAGTTTCACTTTCATAGTCCACATGAGTTGAAAATTATAAATACTAGGCCATGTGTCTTTCCTCCAATAGCTATATGGGAGGCATGTTCAGCCCCGCCCTCAGCAAATCGAATCGTGCCAAAAGACTGTAATCAAGTGCCCAGCTCTTGAGCAGAGCCATAGCTTGGCATCTGTCCCGTGTCGGATCTACTGTATGTGAAAGTGTCTCATAATAATATGACACCTGTGGCTCAT